CGATTGTCTTGTAAGCGTGGGTCGCAGCTTTCTGTTTACTCTTCTTGTTTGTCAAGCCAGCGTTCCGCTTCACTCCCTGGCAAGCGTAGGTGGCGCAAACGCTCTGCAGCTGCAACATTATCTGCTTCTTCGTCATGCCGCCCTCGATGCAGTCGCCAAAGTGTGCGACAGCGGCCTTCGCCAATGGGTTGTAATTCAGCAAGAGCGCCTCAGGCTGCTCAGATGCACCTCCATCGGGCATGTTGTGCAATGGTTGTGTGGTCTGCCGCGTGAGGTCTGCTGCTGTGCGCGTGTATGTCGTGCTGGCACTTTTTACCCGCGCGTGCGCGCGCGCTGCATTTCAAAAATACATGACAGTCCAGCAAAAAATCCGCTGACTAAAATCCGGTTCCTGTAAGAAGGGTCGTACGTTTTTCCCAGCCGGATTATTGTCCGGCCGAAAAAATCGATTTTTCAGATCAAGAATCCGGTTCTGTAAGAAACAGCCTATCGGATCAGGAAATATTGAGTTTCCGAGGTCAAACCAAGCCAACACCCGAACCACAACCGCGCCTTCCTTTGCACAACCAATTGGAAGAGTGACATGAACAAAGAATCTCGCATTTGCTCCAAAGGAGAAAACAGGGGAAAGTACAAACAACACATGGCTCTTCCGGCCTGAAGAGGCCACTACCACACCTACTACCAAAACCCAATGGTATAAAATAACATAATGATAGCTCCCTCCTCAACAGCCTGGGACAAGCTCGAACTGTGCGACGAGCCCTAAGAATCGGGTAAGGCCAACTTTCGGGGTGATTCGCTGGCGGCGAAGGGCGCTCACGTCGACGCGTGAGAGTGACCGGTCGGGAGTGAACACCCTCGTCACCTCACTACTGACAAAAACCACCTCCACCCACAGGCAGAGCCCATATTTTTCGATGGCCTGCAACAGTTCCGACAAGAAACGTTGTTGTGGCAAGTCTTCGAACAATGAGCGCTACAAGTCGTCGAGATTTGGGGCTCTTGCTGCCAGGGTACTTCCGTACTCAAGATGACCGCGATGATGAGACATTCAACCCAGCAGGCACACAAACAAGCGGCTAAACAAAATAGTTGTACATGCTGTGCTGATGAGGTGAGGAAGCCAAAGCCTTGGATGCAGTCACCCTCTACCTCGAGTCGGTACAGCAACTAGGCGACATTTCTTTGACGGTTGAGCTAATATTACCCAGGAAAATATGGGCGTCTCACTACAAAATTCCTCCCCTTCCACCGTCGTGTTCAAACACGCTGGAAACTTTATACGAGGATAAGAACGCTCCGCCCCTGTCCAAAGTACACCGCCGACACACGTCGTACACTCCCTCAACCCCCTCATCTGAAAAAAAAAAACTAATGTACGCACCAAAAGTTGCTTTTGGTCCCCTCTCATCCTTGGAAGTAACAAAAAAAAACATGTTTCCCCGTCCTCTTCGTTCTCGACTGACAAACCGCCTAGCCCCTACGTGTGTGTGCTTCCCGCCATCCCACACCCGCGGCCGTAGTCGTTTGCAGACTTGCCGCTGGACCGCTCCTCAGCGCCTGGCCGTCTGAATGTCGTCAGTAAGCTTTCCAGAGCCAAACACTAGAATGTTTTTAGTGGAACCACGCGCCTTCTTAGTAGTCGTAGCTGAACGAGAACGACATGTCTTCGATCATGAGGTTGTTCAGCCTCTGCAGAAATAGGAAAAATCGAGCGTCACAAAACGAGCGAGGACACAAGCGGCAGTACGTACGTAAGCAGACGGCCAGCTAAGCACACTTCAAATTGTAGGTCCCGAGACACGCGGTTCTAGAGTTTTCGTCAACCACGTCGTCGTTGATAGACCACGGGGTCAAAAACACACGCCATGCGGACAATTATTAATTCAACTCCCTACGATACGTTAGGTAGGCGATCGTACCGGCAGGTTGGCGGCCGGGGAGGCACCGCCCTCGCGTGTGCGGGCGCCGTCCATGCCAAACAAGTTGACCCAGTCGTCCTTCTCCTCGTCATCAGGGCCCCAGGCTCCGGCAGGGCTACCCACGTCGAAGTCTCCAGCGAGTTTCTTGTCTCCGGTGTGCTTGAGGGGCTTGGGGAGGACGAGGTTGCCCGCCGGCTTGTCGTCGGACCCTGCATAGTCAGCACGCGGGGACAGCACGTGGTCATGATAATCGAAGTGGAAGCACGTGACGGGGGGGGGGGGGGGGGGNGGGGGGGGGGGGGGGGTGACTTGAACGGCTATGGCACCGGGATGGTTTTAGGAGTCACGGAGGAAGACCGCATCGAGAGAGCCGTCCTTGGCGGGCACTCCGTCCAAGCATTGTCCGTACTTGAGCGGCGTTCACCTCGTGCCTCGAAGCAACACCTCACGAACGTCACGTAAAAAAATAGACCACATTACCGATCTATACATACATTCCAGAGTCGACGTTTCGTCTGGCAAGGCGATCGGTCAGCCCAACAATCTACCAGAACCTTGAGAATCATGCGAAATATACATATCGCGAAGGATGCGAAATTTGCCTGCGGGTTTCGGCGGCACAACTATTAGAGTACTCGTGTCGGTAGATACATAGCGGAAAATGGATTAGCTCCTTACCGGCAGCTGAGGGCGCAGAGCCGACTGAAGCCGCCGAGTACTGCTGGGTCTGCGTTCCGAGGAAAACAACGGAAGCCGAACAAGAACGATGACGGATCAACGGGAGGTGGTAAGAGCGGGATCGGTGAGCAACTATCTATGTAGCTCAAAGACGGAAGTTGTTCGTTCGTTCCGGCACGTTGTTGCCGTTTATGATACCTAGGCGGGAAAAAGGAACCGCGCAGAGGCGCGAACGTTGCGTGATCTAAGCACAAATAAAAATTAAGTTCCTGACGCGCACATGCCCATACACCCGTTGCGCATGCACACACCGGTCGCCCCGGGGGTCTAGTGGGTAGCCTCGCAGCCTGCTAAGGGCCAGGTCATGGGTTCGAGTCCCGGCAGAGAAAGTTTTTTTCTCACTAAATAAATCCTGGTCTAGGATGAAAGCGACGCGCTGCATAGCTCGTTTGTAAGTAAACCATAATCGACTTCGTAAGTCGCGAGGGAAGGGATTGCTGTACCCTGCTCGCGATAAAAATACCTCAGGCATGAACCGCAGGAGGGGGTCCAGACCCCCCCTCCTATGTGACCCCGGTTGCGTCGTCTAGCTAGTGGAAGTTGAGGATAGGGGCCAGAGGGGCAGACGACAGAGTCCAATGATGGGAGAAAAACAACACGTACACGCGTACACGCGAATGAATACGAATCTTTACACGGGCAGGTTTAGTACAGTACAATACTGCCAGTATTTTCAGTATTGCAGTACCTTTGGCCATAATATACTGTACTGCACGCTTTAGTACAGCTTTCGATACTGGAATAAAAATACTGCACGCTTTAGTACAGCTTTCGATACTGGAATAAAAATACTGCACTCTCCAGTACAGCTCTCGATACTGGAATATACTGTACTGGCAGCACGGCTCTCGGTACTGTACTGTACTGGACGCTTTAGTACAGCTTTCAATACTGGAATAAAAATACTGCACTCTCCAGTACAGCTCTCGATACTGGAATATACTGTACTGGCAGTACGGCTCTCGGTACTGTACTGTACTGCACGCTTTAGTACAGCTTTCAATACTGGAATAAAAATACTGCACTCTCCAGTACAGCTCTCGATACTGGAATATACTGTACTGGCAGTACGGCTCTCGGTACTGTACTGTACTGCACGCTTTAGTACAGCTTTCAATACTGGAATAAAAATACTGCACTCTCCAGTACAGCTCTCGATACTGGAATATACTGTACTGGCAGCACGGCTCTCGGTACTGTACTGTACTGGACGCTTTAGTACAGCTTTCAATACTGGAATAAAAATACTGCACTCTCCAGTACAGCTCTCGATACTGGAATATACTGTACTGGCAGTACGGCTCTCGGTACTGTACTGTACTGCACGCTTTAGTACAGCTTTCAATACTGGAATAAAAATACTGCAATCTCCAGTACAGCTCTCGATACTGGAATATACTGTACTGGCAGCACGGCTCTCGGTACTGTACTGTACTGGACGCTTTAGTACAGCTTTCAATACTGGAATAAAAATACTGCACTCTCCAGTACAGCTCTCGATACTGGAATATACTGTACTGGCAGTACGGCTCTCGGTACTGTACTGTACTGCACGCTTTAGTACAGCTTTCAATACTGGAATAAAAATACTGCACTCTCCAGTACAGCTCTCGATACTGGAATATACTGTACTGGCAGCACGGCTCTCGGTACTGTATTGTACTGGACGTTTTAGTACGCAGTTAAATACTGGAATAAAAATACTGTACTGTACTAAACCTGCCCGTGAATCTTAGGTGCGGGAGAAGAGGAATGACGAACGACAGCCAGCCACTTTCAAAACAAAAAAAAAAATCGGGAAAACCAAGAACCAAAAACTTTTTCAACAACTCGGTTCCCGGCGGGTGAACAGGGGAAATCAGCACCATCATTGCCACACATACCGGGTCGGATTTCGGGGTCGGTTTGTTGTACGGGAACACACAAAACACTCCGTTTGAAGAAGTTGAAATTGATGCATGCTGTCTCATGTCATATCTTCGTCGAACCGTTTCTCCACGCTACGTGCGAAGTCCGGGCTGTATGCACACCCGGACGTCACATTTCTCCGCCAAACTCAGCTGACAGCTGCGGCCGCCGAGGTCCATTAGGAACGACGGCCGTCATTTTCCCAAAAAAAACAGCAGCAGCAATAGAGAAGTATAGTAGGGTATCCGTCGGTGACCAAACACGCCCATGATTCTTCTTGACGAAGCAACCACGACCACCTGGTACAAGTACGACGCGAGCTAATAAGACTTCATTGTACTGCTGTACATCGGAGCCGCACAATTACTCCGGGTTCGTTCGTTCTCAAGTAGTTCTGTGACGACCTTCAACAACCGAGAGAGACATAAAACGATCTCCGGCCATGCTCGTGGTGTTGGATTGATTGCGGCTTGAGTATTCTGCGTACTCGAGAATGAAAATGTGAAACATTTTCCTCGGTCGTTCCAGAAGACATGGTATGTACCCGTCGGGTGGTCCGGTGCGATCCCCGGTCGCCCAAAATCACCCTTCTGTATCTGTTAAGAGCGGTCAGTGTTGCGCTTTCGTGTAAAAGTGGAGCGCTCACGTCAAACCCCCCAAAAAACATAAAGGCAACAAGGTGAGTACAAACGAGAACCAGCTGAGAGGATTGATACCTTGCGCAAGAAAGAACACCCGTGCGAGACACTCCGTTCCATTTGCTAAGGGAGAAAGCAAATACTTGCTGATAAAGGTAGGTGCGCGTACCATCGCGTGTGTGCAACTTGCTGATTGTTGGACAGAACGTGTTCGTTCGCGTCGATGATACATGTGATTCGACTTACAAGTAACTCGGGAGAACTACTTGCTGGTTGTTGGACAGCACGTGTTCGTTCGCGTCGATTAAAGATGTGATTCGACTTATACAAGCAACTCGGGGAGTTAGCAGCAGTTTTTACGCATCAACCTCAGCTCGGGAAGACGGGGGATTTGTTTACCGCCGGGAGCGTTGGCCTTTGCCACATGATTGGTGAAAAGTATCGTGATCCGCTCTCATATCAGAAACCACACACATGGGAAGATGATGTGTGGGTCTTTGCCCAAAAACAGACCTTTCCTCCGCTCTTGCGATAACGATCTATCTTGTCAACAACGGGAAAAAAGTGTATCAGAGAGGCCATCATGGCGCGCGCGCGCTTAGTACACAGGATGGGGTAGCTAAACGTCAGGATTGGGAATGCAGACGCAACCCATGTGAGCCGAATCGGCCGTGCGTCCCGCGCCAGCGGGGAGCCACACAGGAGAGTCGCGACGACTCGCGGCCGTCAGTTGTGAGGAATATCCGACATTCGTACAAAATGATGAACATGACGTGTGAGGAATTGTTTTGTGTTTTTGTGTGGGGCAGAACGGAAGAGTTGTCTGGTAGCAATCACGAGAGCGCACACCACAGCAAACGTCGAGAACGCCGCCTCCTCTCTCTATCTCTCTCGCTCTCTGTCGTCTCCCACTCGCGTTCCTCAGATTCATAATTTGAAGTGAACGAGAACGGACGGAAGAGAGAGGAAGGAAGGGCGAAAACACAAGGGCAAGTACATCCGCCGAGAGCAGAAGCATTTTTTGTGGAGAAACTATCTAATCGTTGGGAGCACCATCTTGTCCGTTGTTCGGAACAGATGCAACGAGGATGCCGTTGGGTTGGGGGTGCGCGCACGCCATGCCATCCACATAGAACTGTCTCACGCGACAACTACCGTTTCGGAAACTGAGCATCGGCGGGAAAAACACGACCCCCGCTTGCCGTGACAAAAATGTAGCAGCCTGGGAGCCCTCAGCAGCCCGAGCTTCTGCGTGGCGCATGCCTCGAGAGTTGACAGGAGACGGAAGCAATACTTCGTGAGCGGAGCGCACACGCGCGTTCTCTCCACCCAACGTGTGGTGGCGCGCATGCCACACTTGCCACTGCCTGTCCTCTGCCTTTTGTCATTGTCCTCTCTCTTGAAGAGAAAGCGAGCATTGAGACCACAGAAAAATTGTCCGTCGGTAGAATTGGGGCAGGAGGGCCAAACCAATTGCCGCTGCATGTGGCAGGCAACGAACAAAACCAGCACCATTGCCTTCACGCGCTGCTGCGCACACGCACGGCTCGTCTGCATGCGCTGCTTGCTCCGTCTCTCAACGTACTTCTTGTCTAACGTTCGGTAATCAACGTCCGAACTCTCACAAAAACACGAACGGGGAGAGATTTTGGCTCCAAAAAACACTTCATACTGCAAAACAAAAAGCTTACCCTGAGGTTGTAAGAGGACGAAGAGCCGCGAGCACCGATGACGATGCCGACCACGAGGCAGCTCACCAAGAGCACGGCCGCCGCGGCTCTGGACACGACACCGGCGTCCCTGCGTTCGTTCTGCATGCTTTCGGTGATGATGTCTGGTGGTTGGAAAGATATGAGGAAGAAGGGAAGAGCGGAGTGCGGAGAAGTGGGGAGGGAGAAGGGAGGCTGGGCACGAAAAGAGAGAGAAGAGAGAGATAGATGGAGCGAGAACTTTGGGTTTGAGAGAAAAGAAGCCAGAACGTGATGGTTCTGTTGGTTTTGTTCGAGTTGATTTCTGATGGGCCCGACACCCTCTGACGTGCAGGACGCGTACCAAATGAATGAACTTATGAACTTTTGGTTGCTGTTGCGACTTTGCGGCGTCAATCAAGTTCGATGCGCCTGTACAGTGTTCCATGGATCTGTGCACTGCTACACCCTATACTATGCGTACCCCTACACTGCTGTACACCATATACTATGCATACCCCGCACCTCGCCTCTCTTCTAGTTGCAATATACCTTCCTCTTCTCTTTTCGGTGCGTCACTCACCACGGACAAACATTTGTGTTGTCAATTTTTTCGTTTTTTTTCTGACTTTCCGTGTTGGTTTTGTGTGATGCCATCGTCACCGGTTTTGTAGAGAGACCCGTCAGAGATGGCGTGGCTAACCCGGGTGCATTGGTTTTGTGCCTGATCGTGGAAGACCCCTTCAATGTGGAACGATTCTTAGCTAGTGTCGATATTTTTCACTGCAGTGCCTAACACAGACGATCGGGAGAGATTCGGGTGATTGTCAATTGCTGCTATGATGGCTTTGGTTGGTTGTTCTTTTTCACTGTACGGCCGCAGACACATTCTGACAGCACTTCAGACAGCAGCTTTGTGCCCCGCCAGCTGCTTGTTCCATGCCTACCATGGTGTTTTTGTACAGACAGCACTTCAGACAGCATTATGCTGTAGTCGGCAATCTTCCGTTTTGGTATAGAGTGGGACAGGGAGGGGGTGATGCTACTGTAGTCGAACGGTGGGACGGACGTGCAGTTCAGTTTTTGGGCACGCATACGGTGCTGCAGGGATTTTTAGGTGTACCTCTTCGGGCTCTTGCATACCTTTTTCTCGTCGGATGTGTGCGTGTTCTTTAGATCCTCAGATGGCTCTAGCACTTTCGTGACCACGGGCTGAGAGTCTTTTGCTAGATTTTGGCATTTAGCAACTGACATACGGTTTAATGTGAAGACAAACAACAAACAACAACAACAACTCCCCCTTTGGTTGGACTCGCCGGAGTCCATCAGCTAGATCACCAGGGCTGATCTCACGCTGGGCACACAAACAAACCTTCAACCGGGAAAACCATAAAAAACTTAAGGCTGCTTCCATCTGTGCAACCTGCTTGCAAGGCGCACTCTTGTGTACATAAGCTGCAGAGCGACCGCCAGCAACGGTAAGGATCTCTCTGGATCTTTCTCTGGATCCATCGAAGCATCAACCGATCATGATTTTAAGCAACGGCTCGTGGCCGCAAGAAGACACGGCGCGAGCGAGCCGCAGTGATCCGTCCTTCGCATGAATGCTAGCATGCATTATACGCGAGAGGATCGCAGACGTGCAACGCTGCACATGCATGCATGATATGTCACGGAGACCTGAACAGGCGGAAGGCGGGGATGCCCTCAGTGTCAGCGTGTGTGAGAGACAGAGACAGAGGGGAAAGACCGGTGAGTGGGGAGGCAGCCCCCGGCTTGAATAATATCTTCTCTCTGCCTGTTGATACCGCGCACGTTCTTGGTCTGCGCTTACAGCAGCAGCACCGTACAGCAGTATGGGTGGCACAAGATGCCACGCCTGCTCGGGTGATTTTCAGAGGTCGGCTAGACCTCGAGGAAGAGAATATTAATATTCAAACCACAAACCAATCGATGCGTGAACGGAAGCCCTCGATGAGAGGATTCCAACGCCGTCATTTTGAGCACCGCCACTCTCTTGTGATGTGTGCTGTGGAGTGGTCAGAGCTTTGGCAATCGGTCCAGAGGGGGTGTGACAATATTGACGTCACCTACTTACTGTAGGTAGGGGATACAGACTCCATTTCTTGGTCGGAGACGGGACTCAATTCGCGTTCATGAGCCTTTCTCGCGGTGAACGTGATAAGAGACAGACGAGGATGCTTGCTTGTACATAGGGCCAGAGTATGTGCGAAAACAGAACAACACCAGAAGACACAGGGATGCATGGATAATCTACAGCAGATACTCATTTGCAGTTAGTTCGATGTTTTGCGGTTGCGGCGACGCGAGCAGATAGATAGATCCATGCGTTGTTCCAGTGCACGTCAGGTTGTCGCAACAGAACCTGAAGCCGTTTCAGAACAAAAAGGAAGGCGTGGATAGACTAAACAGATTAGTCTATGTCCTTGGCGACAGCGCCGGCTAGCGGTCGCTCACGCATAGATATGTAGTAGATGAATTGATCGGCAAACGATACCTGATACAAGAGTCCACATGAACCACCAACTTAAAGAGATAATGCACAGTTTACATAGTGTTCACCCTATTTATTTCATTGTCGCGCGACACGTGCTGTGGGGAGGTTGAAACAGCTACCACACGCGGGCCTCAAACGTACTTCATGACGTTACTACAACGTACTTCACTAATATATCGATGTTTTACCGTTGCGGCGACGCCAGCAGATGGATAGATCCATGCGTTGTTCCAGTGAACCGTCAGGTTGTCGCAACAGAACCTGAAGCCTTTTCAGAACGAAAAGAAGCAAGACATGGATAATAGACAGATCTATATCCTTCGCGACAGCGCGGGCTAGCGGTCGCTCACGCATATGTAGTAGATAAATTGATCGGCAAACAACAGGCTTGATGCACGAGCGGGCCCACATGAACCACCAACCAAAAGAGATCATGCACAATGATTGCAAGTTCACCCGTTCCTTTCATTGTCGCGCTACACGTGCTGTGTGGAGGTTGAATTAGCCAACCGCACGCGTGTCTCAACGTACTACTTCATTACGATACTACAACGTACTTCATTAAGATACAACCTTCCCCAGTGGAATGTGGTGACATGCAAAAAAGTCGTTGTGGTTCCCGACAAGAAAAAACACGCATTGAATTTCAATAATAAACCGATAAAAATAAAGACCGAAAAAAGTATAATACGCCTCGTCACGAGACGTGAAAATATGGTGCCATACATACGTACCTACGTTCGCCTCGACAATTTCAACGCCCCCCGTCCTATCATAAAGTCACAGCAAAATATGTAACACGTTCGTTCGCCGATTTGGTGTTGTACTCTCCCGAGCATGAAACAAGCTCTTCACGTTTGTTTCTCCTCCCAAGCCGCGTGTCCAACCACATGTAGTACCCGCCCAACTCGCGAAACCTACTTCTCTGGACGACATAATAAAAAAAATGTGCTCAGTGAACACATACCACCTTGGCTCAGCAGGGGTGGAATCTCAACACGCGACAGAGGCGACCGAGCCACGATCGTTTCTCGTCTCAGCAGCACCCACAGCTAGCCAGCAACCATACGTTTTAGCAAAGAGCAGCCAACGTGAGCCAGTGAACCCACCCTCTCTCACCAGTTTCATACAGCGGCAAGTTTGTTGGCACCAACAACGCGGTCCACCCTCTACCCGCCCACGTTCCCGATGAGCGGCAACCAACCGGTCCTAGCTGCACGTTTGCAACAACGTCAACTTCGAAATCGAGTCTTGAAGACAGGAATACTCCCCGTACACCAACCAGCCGCCCTTTCAGAATCTCCAAGGTCGGAAAAATTGAGAGCATTCGTTCACACTCCCCAAAGGAGCATGAAAAACTAAGCTATACAGAAAAGTACAGGGTGCAGTCTTTAGCAAAGCAGTTAGACTGGACACAATCGCGACATCAGCATACGAGCATGATGTCCCGAGCAACACAAGAACGCGACCGGATAGGTCGCACAAGTACGGACAGAGATTCAGTGCCTGAGGTCTCGCTCCGTTACCCAAAGGGATGAGAAAGCTATATTTCCGTCCGTCCTTGCACTCCTCGGCGTACTACTCTGCAGACAGACCACATCATGTCAGACCATGCATGTATCATGTCGTACTCGACACCTTCGCAAATACAAGGAACTCGACGCCTTCAAGAAAACAAGGAACGCTCGTTTCCTACACTGTACAAGATGGGACAGACAGTGAAGTAGAGAAGCAACCTCATCAAAAGGCCGGCACTAAGATATAGCCCAACCAAGAGGGGAAATTTTCCTCTTCAAGTGTGGCCACAAGCGGTCCATCTCTTCCGTGTCCACCCGAGAGAGAAACAAACTACAAAACTCAACACGACAAAAACACGCAGCAACAGAACCTGGGCACGGGGTGCGACTGTTTACATCCTCCATGTGGGCGAGTGACGATTGGACGACGCTCGAGGAGACAACCGCACCGGATCAATCAACGGTCGGGGCGGTACGCACGCCGAGAGATTCCAGACGATTCCAAGGCTTCCTCTTGACTCAGCTCATTGTTAATTATGTGGTGTCGGCCGGGAAGAAGGCTAGTGCTCGTACGCGAACGAGCCGAAGTCGTACGACAGGTCTTCCTTCAAAGACTCCAAGGATTCGAGCGCGAACTCCCCTGGCCAGACGTAGTCCTCCGTGTTCGTGTTGGCCTTTTCCTCGCTGTTGCTGGGCGAGGGTATAGTCACAGCGCTGAACGAGTTGGTCTTGGGGGCTGCGCGTCACAGGAGGGAGAGAGAGAGAGCAACAAGCAAGGCAGAAAGCAACGAGATATCAGATTCCGTCCCCAGTTTGGGGGGGGGGGAAGGGGTCGCAATGTGGACAACGAATCCTGCACGATGAACCTCGAACGCCCGCCATCTAAGACGATCAAGACAAAACATAAGAAGAGCCTGCAACGCTGCGGCAAAAAAAACGATTGAAAACACCAACAAGCACCGAAGCGGCGTGAAGTACAACCCCCTCTTGCTGACCTGACACGTGAGCCGGCATGGTCAGTCCGTCGCCGCGCGCCTCCTGGTGCTTCTCCTGCAGCGAAAGATGAAGCGGTCGGATCACAAAAACACGCGGACAGGGCGCGTGGTTATCAGTGTGCGTAAATCTGGTCACCCTGAGTTCGAGTTTTGGGTACGTACGCATTCATTGTAGCAGCAGCAGCAGCAGCAGCAGCAGCAGCAGCAATTTTCGCAGAGTCCAAATTCATTTCGACCCGCGTTTATGAAAATTTGTTGCCTAAAAAACAAAAACACGTGTGCATGCATGTAGAGCCACCCCCCTGGCGATGCGCTTTTGGTGGACGTTCCATCCATGAGACACATCAAGCCATTATGCCCAACTCCCACCCAATCGTTGAACCGCAATCAATCGAAGTTAGGATTTGTGTCTGTCCAGAGTCAACCAAAAACCTGAAGCAATAATGGCATGCCCTCCCGCTCCCCACGTACGCCGGAACGCCACAAACGAAACTACGAAGTAGCAAGCCTCATATGACCACATTAACGAACTATGTATGGCTGGCTGTGTCCGACCGGGGGGGCGGCCTCCTTTTTTTTTTACGCTCCACCTACAAATGATGCAGTATGCTGGGCGCCAGACTGCGCCTGTTCCTACATGCATCAGCAAGTGTACATGTAGTTCGCTATCTCCAGTAGTTCCTGCTGTAGACGCACCAGTCGGTGTCCAATACCAGGAGTTTCTGCTTGTTTTCTTCCCCTTTTTTTCTGAGATGCTTGCACTCAAACGCAAAACTTGTGATTCGAGAAAAAAGACTGGTAATAATTTCTTTGAAGAGAAGGTGCTTCGTTCTCTCTCTTGATGTGCTCACAACGACTACAGCAGCAAACAGTAGTCGGATCACCCGGGGGAGCTCAACGGTAGTAATAGCACGTCCTGACGTCCTGACGAGGGCTGCGGGCTCCGTGTTCGTTGTGGTCAGTGATTTATTTCTTATTTCGGGATAATCGGGAGCTTCCCGGGTAGAAGGATATGGTTCGGGGTGTTTTTTCTGTCGAGCCACAAACGATGGCACACCAACTTCACACATTATAATGAGATGGATAGGCCGCCTGGGAGCGAGAGCGAGCATGAGCGAGAGAGAGAGATAACTATTGCTTGCCGCGGTGAAATTCAGAGCGGCCATCGACTATTGGGTGCGTCGGCCCGTTGCCCCGTCTCCTGTTTCGGTGTACTACAACTGCTGTAACGGTCCACATATCACCTACCGTTCGTTGGATGTGATTTCTATGTGCAGTGCAGACAAAATGGTTCGTTGTGGTCTGCAGCTATCCATCCATGATGATGCCCGGTAATCATCATCGCAAAACCAGGCACCAATGTCGCCAGAGACATGCCGCCGTGCGGTCGGACGGCGTCTTCATTGAGGTGGACATAAACCATACCACCCCTTGCTCCGCTGCGCAGTTAGTTTGTGCCGTTGGGGTTCCGATTCAATATCTGCTGCTGGTGCTGCTGCTGTTCGTTGTTGACAGAGTTCGTCGACGCCCAAGCTATGACAACAAAAACGTGCACACTCGTCGGCCATCACGCACAGCACACGCGACGGAAACCAACATCAATCTACAGCCGAAAGCAGCAACTGTCCGTCAGGCGCGCTAACGCCGCGTGCGTGCGTGCTGTGCGTTATGTGTATGAAACGAGAAGGAAATCAACTCACGTGGCTCTTGGTGCTGCGAAGATTGTGGGCGCCAGCAAAAGTAGTGCTGCTGCTGCTTCTGTTCTTCGACTGCGTGCCGACCCAGACGGCCGCCAGAAACAACGCGCAGGCCAGCAGCACTGCCTGGTACTTGTGCATGGACGGGTTCATGGTGTTGATGGTTGGGGGCGGAGGGCTGGCACCTAGGGAGGGAGGGGCGAGCGAGTAGTGGTGAGCGGAGAGAGTGAGTGAGAGGGGAGGGGGGGCGGGGGCTGCGGCGGGTAGGAGCTCACACCGATTGAGTAACGGTGTAAGGGAAATATACCGCTATAAATAAAATGTTGTCTAAAGTTGCTCCGCCCAACGAGCGGCGGGTGGGGTTGGGGGTATTTCATACTGGAGGGTATATTTATTTTTTCTACACATGCATAGATCGAGTAGACGACGCCACATCGATCTCTATCCATAGAACAGAAAAAGAACCATAAGATACGTATGTAGATGAATTCACAGAACCAGCGGAAATTACCTGTGTTCTACGGTTTCCCGGGCAGCACACAGCCATGCCGGGGGCATTTGCATTTTTCTGCGCGTCATCAACTTGGCGCCATAGCTGTTATGTCATGTCATTCACGACCCGCCCGGCGGACAAAAAGGAAACTCGCCGACTGAGGTTGGTCTATATCTCGAACGGGTAGTCTTTCTGTGAGGTTATGTTTACTTTCTAAAAACTCTCCGATGTGATCGATGTCACGTCATGCAGGGGCGTCATGTATGGTGTGGCAGCAGCTGATGACGCGTATGGTACAGAGAGGGCTCGTGCGCTTACTTTGCATATCCTCGTGCCGTAAGGTATAGCTGATTGATTGCCGTGGCAAGGTGTTCCATCATACGTATCACCACCAGCTTGCCGGTATGTATGTGGGATCTCGCCATAAAGGAGCTTTGTTGCCGGCCTCTCTATCGTGTCAATTGTTTTATTGCGGTGTCTACACGAACATGTAGTGGGTTTCCAGCCTTCGGTCTATAAATCCATCCGCGACTGCAAACTCTGTTATTTTATAACTGTGCGGCAACAACGACGGAGTATTGTATGTACTTCGGACACTACGACTGGAACAACACCCGTCCGTTTGGTTTTGCCGAGACCCGAGACTCGGGTTCTTTTTCCTTGATGACGACAGATACAACACCGGATTGGTTGGTCCGGTTGGGTTATTATATTGTGGGATTTCCGAGTTAGTATCATCCTAGCACAGATACACATGTTACACAAAGTAAGCACATGTGGGTTGCAGAGGAGGGCTGCTTAGACCGCGGCAGATGATGGTAAGAGGCTACCAACTTTGCATGCATGCATGCGCTGCGGTCTGGATACATACACATTTCCTTGCAGCAAGTTACAAACCTTGTTAGCTGAGGGGGCGCTTGCGGCCAACTAAGCAACGAAGGCAGCCAAGTGTGGAGAACGAAAGGCCGCAGCAGTATACATACATACGTCGTGCAGAGAGGGAAGGGGTGGGGGAGCTCACCATTCCTGAATTTAAACCTGAACACAAGGTACACGGTCTCTTTCTCAAGAATAGAAGAACGTGCATAGACTACATGTAGTAGAACGTATTAGAAAACGTTACATAAAACGGAACATGACTGACTCCGAACAGAAATGAGGTTGTATCTCGAACGGGTAGTCTTTCTGTGAGGTTATGCTTACTTTCTAGAAATAACGGCAAACTAGGGGAGGAGTACGTTGGTCCGCACACTCTCAACTTCGCCATCGTGCGGTGTGGGTATTTAGTGTGATGTTCCCAACGATGCATAACCTGTGAGACACCTTTGCAGCAGTTGGACAGGCAGGGTCTGCCTCGCTAAATCCACCAACAGAACGGGTTTTGGTTTTGACGACAACAACAGCCATGATCCGCACACTTCAGTGTGCGACTGTTGGGGACGGCAAGGAATAGTCCAGACAAGGGGAGATTAGATGGCGTTTCAAAACTTGAATATTTTCGGGCTTGATTTCTAACGAAGGTCGACAGCAAACCGATTCAACTAGTCTACATAGATGCCGGTCATTCACAGCAGTGCCGCTGCTGCAATTTGTGAACACGAGCAACACCACAGCTTGCCGTCCATTGTTCTGTCAGCCGCAAGCTTGCACATGCGAAGTACGTCACTGCTTGATTGAAGCGATCTCATGCGCAGGGGCTTACCCCCGGCGGCTCACAACAAAGAGAAAGCGCATTCCAACATACGACCAGCTTATAATTACCCCGTGTGGTGCGTTTGCATACAACACCCAACACAACGCCAGAGGGCTCCACCGATTCCTCCCGAAGGAAGTTCTGATGATAAAGTTGGCCGAATGAGTGCACATCTATCTTCCTACACACACTAAAAGTTGTTTCGGCCACACCCACTAGCTTACGCCGTACATATCATGCTACAGCAGTACGGCCTTCAAGACGCATTGTCCTCCTATTCACATAATCTTATACACTTCAGTACCACGACGACCATGCTAATTAACTCAGGTAGAAGGCGCAAAGCTAAGGAAGGCCACCCCCGCCCCCCACCACACACTTTCGTGCTCCAAGACACCACTCACTCCGGGCCAGGTCGCCGGGCCCGTGAGCAAATGGACGCGGGGGACCGCCAAAGGCCGTCCTCCTTCTACTGCCGTAGCCCGCGGCCACACCTGCGATTCCATCACCACCGTCCAGTCCAATCCATGGGTTGGAAAACAAAAAACGGGGATATTATGTAGACATGCCCCCCCGCTACTACGCGCGACTTGGTGCCTGCGTCGGCGTAAGAGAAGAGGCGAACACCAACGCTCCCGCCGGCATGGTACTTGGGGAGCCCCCGGGAGGGGAATCTTTCGGCGGCCACGCGAGGTCGGTGCTGGCACCCCCCTGGTTGTACGCCACAGCGGCAGGGGGGTGGTGCCAAGGAGACGCTGACAAGATGGAAGCGGCATACCCGGCATCCTCGTCTCGGCTGTCCATGGTGCCGCACGTGGGGAAGGGGCTCATCGCGGCCGGGGCGGGGGAAGCGGCTGCCGAGGCGACGTAGGGATATAAAGAAGGGAGCAGGCCGAGATCGTGACCGTAGAAATCGGCCGCGCTGATTGGCTGCCGCCCACGCCGCTCCATATCGCCGAACAAGTCGTGGCGCGGCTGGTTTCGATGCCTTTCGCTCCCCACCCGGCCGCCGCCCCCGGCCTTTGCGCCCTCTTCGTCGCCGCCGCCGGCCGACGCGCCATCTGCGTATATATTGCCACCGCCGGCCCAGGGCGCGCTAGGACGGTATGGCGTGCTGAATATCGAACCAGCCGATGCAAGCGGCTTTGCTTTTGGTGACGGCATCGCACCCGCCGCCGCCGCCGCCGAGGCACCTGCAGGGGCAGCTGCGACCGGCACTGGCACGCCCCTGGCGTCGCCGCTGTGGTGGTCGCTCAACAGCTCACGACAAGACGGGAGCACTGCCGCCGCGGCCGCCGCCGCCGCCGCCGCCGCCGCCGCCGCCGCCGTAGTTGACGACGTCTCATGGCTATTGATCGTTCCTGGCGCGGTGTCGCCCGCTCGCTGCCCGCTCTCCGGCGGGATAGCCTGCACCGGCTGCCGTTCTAGCTGCCGCTGTTGCCCCGAGCAATCATCGTCCCCTCGCGCTTGCTCCCGCTGTCGAAGGCTTTGCTGCTGTCGGTCGGCCGGCGCTTCTGCCCGCGGGTTGCTGCTGCCCGCGGCGACGAAACCGTTAGCAGCAGCGTCGCCTTCTTCTTCTGCCGTCCTACTCTGCACCACGGTCATCTCCTTGCCGAACTTTCCGATGCCGCCCTCTCCGCCGCCTCCGAACCCGTCGTGGGAGCAGGGGTTCAGGCTCCAGCCACCGCCGCCGCCGCCACCACCCACGGGCGCGCTTCCCCTGCCGCTGCTCCCCAAGTCGGCTCCGGCACGCTCGAGCAGCGACGACGAAGACGGTGGCCAAAACAAATCGTGGCGCCGCTGCTCGCGGAGAGACGAAACCACAGATGCCGCTTCTGCCGCTGCCGAACGGTAATCGATACCATCTCCACCGCGCAACGACCCCAACCCCACACCGCTGACGCCGCCGAAGCAACTGACATCGCCGCCGCCGGTCAACGAAGTTGCTTCAAACCCAGGGTGCCCCTTTGGAGGATCCTTCCCTCTCGCTGCCACAGATGCCGAAAGGGACCCTGCACTTGCTCCCGCCCTTGGCGCCGCTCGCGCGGAGGCGTTCTTTCTTCGCCGCACGGGGGTGGGCCCAGCACCGTGCGACGGCGGCGTTCCAACACAGACACGGTTCGCGAAAGCTCGGCTCGCGCGACCCAAAACGTCGCCCTGGACGCCGCGTGAACCAGCGGCAATAGGGGTACAAGGCGGGATCGACGAGGAGGCGGCGGCGTGATGGGGCGACGGGAACGAGGTGCGGACGGGGGATAACGACGAGCACGGCACAACGGAGCGGGCGCCCAGCTCCTGCTGCTGTTGTCGTTGTGGAAGGGGCTGCGACTGCTTCTGCTGTGGCTGCTGTCTCGACAAGTCTTGTTGCCGCTGTTGCTGCAGCCGCTGCTGCTGCTGGTGGCGCTCCCTCTCGCGCAGCTGAAGCTGCTGCCGCAACGAAGCCTCATCATCTCCACGAACCGCGGCGACGCCACCGCCGCTGTTGTCGCGACCTCCATCGCTTCCGGTAGTAGCCCAAGGGCTGCCTGGGAGGCGGGCTTCGTCCCCGCTGCCGCTTGTAGCGGCTTTCTCGGACGACTCAGAGCCGATGTCGTCCCCGTCGTGGTGGTCGTCTGCCACTCGGGGAGAGCGACCGCGACCCCGTTGCCTCCGTACACCGCCTCCTGCGTTGTCTCGCGATCGCCCCGGCGGCTGGGATCGAATACAACACGACAAAACAACAAGCGAGGGCGGTAGGGGTACAGCGTCGGCGTAAAGAACGGGGGGGGAACAAGGCGGGCCGTGAGACCGCATGGCGGACTGACTAGCGCTCGTGGGTGCTTGCGGTGCCGAACATTGGTGTACCTGGTGCAGGTAGAGGCTAACGCGGCTCCTTCAACGTCTTTGTCGTACCAAGATAGGCTGCCTCTCGTCCTTATACATGCGGAGTGTAAAATCCCTCCTACAAGATACCGTACACAGAAAGGTTGGCGACCAGTGGACGGGCCAAGAAAAGAACGAATCCCAGGAGCGACAAGGTGGTTAAATAGCGCGGAACGATTCTGAGTTGGGGGGGTAACGTGTACAGCGAAATCCTGTGCCACTTGGTTGGTTTGGCCACAGTATCATGCTTTCCCAACAACATACACTACATGTGGCCTGATCCACCCCTTCCGGGCAGTCTTCTGGCAAGATACGCTTCTTGCTCCCTCTCCAAACGAAAGCAAGAGCAAGGTGTTGTCCGTCAACCTGCTGTTATCGACAGCCTAGTCACTCGGTCTTCGATTCTCGAAGTACACAATCTCAAGTGAATACAAAAGAGACGAACAACTCGGCCTTTTCCTCTTCCACAAATGGATGAAGCTGCCTTAGTGATACCTGAAACCGTTCCTGGCCTGGCCAGTAGTGCCGACAGCATCTGTACAATACGAGACAAACCACCATTAATGACAGCAGTACCTTGGGGTCATCATCTCCGAGGTACGCGATCGCCTTTTTCACGCGGGACCCTCTTCTCACACACCCAAGCGCCGCCGCCGCGGCAGCCGCCCCCCGGGCATGTCCACTACCGCCACCGCCGCCGTTCTCACGAGTATCGGTCCCGCTTGGTCCGCGCCCGCTACCCGCCGTCTCTGCCCCACGCTTCTCCGGGAGGATCACACGAGCAGAAGCACCAGCGTCACCGTTCGCGCCGACAACTGCAGTGCCCTTTGCTTCTCGAGTTCGATCGCTGCCCGCGCAGACCCCATCCTGGTCCGGTTTCTCGTCCTTTTCGCCGTCCTCGCTGCTGCGCCCCCGCTTCCGCCCGGGCTTCCTGTCCCCCCCCAACCGGGGAAGAGCGTCGCCGCTAGCACCGCCACCACCACCGGCGGCGGCGGCGACGGCCGCGCTCGAAACCTTCGCGGCTTGGCCGTCGCTCCGGCAGCCTTCGTAGCCTCTGGGGGTTGCCGGCGACTCGTCAACACCGCCTCCTCCCGCCGCTGCTTCCTCTTCGCGCTCGAGCTTCTTCTCACGAGTCTCCGCCGCTTCGGCTGACCTCTTCGCCTTCTTGGCTTGCGGGCCCTCGGGACCGGAGTCCCGCTCCGCTCCGGCGGCTGCCGCTGCTGCTTCCGCCGCCGCTGCTGCTTCCGCCGCCGCTGCTGCTGCCGCCGCAGCCGCAGCCGCCGCAACTACCACGCCCGACCGGGAGGTTTTAGGGACAACTGCAGCGGTGGCCGTCTTTGTCTTGACGGCCGGTGCCTTTGGAGTCTCCGAGGCTACCGCGCCCTCCTGCGAGTGTTCGGCTGCCCCGACCTTGGGCGGTGGTTGCGGAGCGGCGGCAGGGGCAGGAGCGGCGGGATTCTTTCTTTTTCTGTTCGGTTTGGCCTTGGAACCAGGGGCGCTGACGGCGATCGGGTGCCGCCGCAAATCATCGCCGTCGCCGTCGCCGCTGTCATCATCACCGTAGAACACAGGCGGCGCCTGGATGGACCGCACGAACGTCGCCGACGACAGGCACAAACACTTACCATGGTATTGTCGCAGGGTTTTTGCGTTTTTGGGTGTTACATTCAATTGACGCGGGGTTAGTCGAGGATACGAAACCTGCGAGGCTGCAAGCCGTGCCACCATCACAGTAATAAACCACCCGGAGGACAGATGAATATCATGATCCCAAGTGAGAAGACCAAGGCATCAGGACTGACTCGAAAAAGAGAATAAGACACTTTGGAAAGAGCAAAAAAAAAAAGTACTGCCAAAACAGCAGGCAAGCAGTCATGAATAAATCCAGACGAGGATACGATCGAGCGGAAACTTTGCCATAAGCTGTTCGCCAAACAAAACTAATTCATGAGCCAAAAGTATACAACACGATTCGAGGCTGGACAGCAGGTTCCAGCTATGTACCGCACGACAACACAACGGCAGACACAGGCAAGGTGAATGACACAATCACTGGCGCGCTTAGTAAACCAAGCAAGCTGCTGCCACATGGGACAAAATAGACGCTGCGGGTGACGGCGTCGAAAGATAGCGGCTGGCTGGACGGGCAATGTAACAAACTTCAAACAAAAAAAAACGCACGTTAACGGCGTACCAACAAGAACTGGTAGTGCAGCACAAGTGACGACGCGGCACACCGCACGCACTACAACGCCCCACGCAACAGCTTCTCTCCCGCCTACTTACCGTCTGTGGTCATACGCCAACACCAACACCCCTACCCAGGCAAAACTCACCGTGGCTCTTTGCTTCCGACCGCTGGGTTGCGGCACGAAAACCGCTGCAGAAGCGGCACCGGCGGGAGCATCACGGCCAACATGGACGCCATCGTTCCCGTCTCGACCCCGCTTCGCCTTCGCGCCGCCCGCGGCACCCACCCGGGCTTCCGACTCGCCGCCGGCGCGCGGAGCAGCCCTCGCCGCAGCATGGTCGTTGCCATTGGTAGGACGAGCCTTGCTGCCGCCGAAGGGCGCCGCCTTAACAGCAAGACTGATATCGCTGTCGCCGTCGCCATCGTCGCTCTTCTCCTTCTTCGTCTTTTTGATGGGAGACGGTAACACGGGCTGGGGGCGCGAAGACGGCGCCGGCGCCGCAGGCCCCGTTGCCGGAGGCCTAGAGACCACTGCCGCCGTCCGCTTCGCGCAGGATAGCTCGCGCCTCTGCTTGATCGCGGCAGCGCAAGCCGCCGCCTCTTCCTCCTCCTCCTCGTCGTCTGAGGGCATCTGGAACACTGCCTGTGTCGGCGATAGGGGTATCGAGGATCGACGCGGCGTCTCCCCCCGGCCCTTCCCTTTCTCCGAGGCTGCGTCGCCGCCCCCTTTCGTTGGCAAAGCAGACTTCTTCTTCGCCATCTGCTTGAGCCGGGCTGGGGACTTTCCTTTGGTCCGCGAGGCGGCGGTGGCGGTAGAGTCGACAGCATCACCGGTTGGTAGCGGCGGGGAGAGGCTACCTCTTCGGGAAGGAGTGCAGAGCGGCTGCTGTTGTTGGCGTCCCTCTTCCTCTCGCTCCTGGTCCGGCTTCAGCACGGCTGCTGCCGTCGCCGCCGCTGATGCCGCCGCAACCTTTGGTGCCCCGACGCCATCACCAGCCCCGCGCTTCTCCCGACACCCTGACCTCATCGGGGCGGCGGAATTCTCCGGGGGACCCGGACCGACGCAACCATGCGCGTGCTTGTCGTCTGCGCCGGTGTCTGCGCCGGCCTCGGCTTGGCTGGATGATACGGCCCCTTGTCCCGCCAATCTCCCCCGATCGCTGGAACGCCTGGTGTCTTCTTGGCCTTGCCCCGCCGAGTCTTTCTTGCTGACCACACGCTTCAGCACCGGTGACACCGCCCCCCCTCCTCTGCTCCCGCGTCGCCCCCCTGCTACTGCTGTAGCGCTTCCCCGCTTGCGCATTTCCCTTTGCCCCCCAGTCTTGTCGTCCCCCTTCGCCGCCTCTTCCATCTCCCGACTTCCCTCGCCTTCCCCCCCGCGCGGCTCTGATGCCGCCGTTGGCGATGAATGCACTGGAGGCTTGTCTTCCTTCTGCTGCCGACGGGAGGGAGCACCGTCGCTGTCGTGGCCACCAGCACCACCGTCACCAGGAGTAGCGGTAGCAGGAGCACCGGCGGCGGTTACAGCACCGGAGGAGGGAGAGGGCGGCAGCGGAGGCTCCACCACGGAAGACTCAGGATCCACAGGCAGGTCTTCAATCATCGTCCGCGATATCCCGTCGGGCTGCACCCCAGCCGGGGGCCTCTCCAGCTTCCGGGCCTCACCCTCTAACCACGCCACAACGGAAGAAGAGGACGACGGCGAACAAGGAGACACCCCGCGCTTCCGCGTTTCCCGCTCCGTCCCCGCTCGGCTTGTCTTCTCGCCGCTGACGCTGTTATGCTTTCGGCGGACATCACCGGGGACCGTTCTGCGACTCGTGCGCCTCTCCCCGGGGGAAACCCCGGCATCGCCTGTCCCCGCCGCAGCTTTTCTCGCCGAACCCGCGCCGGCCGTCGGTGCCGGCGGGCTTTCGACCGCAGCAGCACCTCCTTCAACCCCCTCCTGCTTGACGTCGTCACCCGTGCCGGGTGCCGACTTCTTCGAACCTTTCGTCTTTTTCTTCTTCGACGACTTCTTGTCGCCCCCGCCGCCATCTGTCGGGTCGCGTTTCTGCGGCGGCTGCTGCTGCGGCTTATCGCGCCGGGCCTTCTTGGCAACCCTCGGGATGTCGATGCCGGTGTTCCAGCCACCCCCGCCAGCAGGGGCCAGGGTATGGGGCACGACGGTGGGCTTGGGGATGGCCCCCGGCGTGTCGAAGATGAGTCCGCTGCGGTAGGCGCGCTGGAAGATTAGGTTGTAGCTGCGGTTGTAAGGCGGAAGCCCTTGGACAAGCTTGAGGACAAGGCAGCAGAGAGATAGAAACGAACGAGTGTAGCCACGCGCGACACGACGAGGGCACAAACGACAGGGCAAAAAACATTGCGAGCGGGTTAGACTCATGGAGAGACCAAAATATATATTTGAACTTCCATCACAGCACGCCCCCATTCCGAAAAAAAGCTGTCGCCGGAAGCGTGTGCTACACAGCAAGCAGTCGGACTGCTAATGCTCGCACGTACTCAGCGTCCCTCGACATGCGACGGCAACAACAATCCACAGGAAGCAACCCGACGACAGAGCAGAAGGCGGTCGGGCCTCACCTTAAAAGGTGGGCACCAGAAGCCGGCATTTTCCCCCCCTCGCTCGGCGGGTGCACCGCTGCCACTGCCGCTGCCGCCGCCACTGCCGCTGCCGCTGCTGCCGCCGCTGGTAACAGCGGAAATGCTTCTCTTCGTGGACTTGGGCATCGGCGGCGCCTGCTCCTGCACCTGCTACAGCAAACAAACCGAGGACCGAAGCACGAAATACGAGGGGTTGTTGGCGCCACATGCATACGGACTAGGAAGGGTTTTCGTGATATCGTACTCATTTGTAGAGAGAGAGCCAGCCTGCAGAGCGTCCGCTTGCCATTCCGACGACTGCCACGTTTCTAGTGGCACGAGAAGGTTGTGCACGTGTTGGTGAGACAGGAACCAAGGCCCGTTGGCATTCGCACACGGGCCAAACTCCGTGAGAGATCGGAAAAACCATGATAATCTACCAAATGCTGAATGTTACTCTGCAAACGTCCAACACGCGGATACAGAAGTAGATAGAAGAAACAACTCGCGTCGCCTGGGCGCGCATGTAGCCGACACCAACTAAAAAGCGGAGCACCGCTGCTGTCACCCTTGTTAACGATTTATCGCCAGGCCTGTTGCTGATAAAGCGGTGTGCGGATCAGGGCAGATCGAGAGCCAAGCTGTACGTCTGCTCCATATACCCTCCCGCCCATCGCAAAACAACATCTATCCGCCCCCCAACCCAGGGCCAAGAAGAAACGCCTACGCTGTGTGTGCCCCGCGCACCTGATCCTTCCCCTCCTCCTGCCCCCCGTCTGAGCTGCAGCCGCCGCTAGAAGCATTGTTCTCCGTGTCTCCGCAGGTTACTCCGCCGGTTACAGCAGCCGCGGCCGGCTTAGCTCCCCCGCCAACACCAGCGGCAGCACCAGCACCATCAGCCGAAGGTGACGACGACGCATTCGCCGAGGCTTCGGAGGGAGCTCCATCGCGCGGAGCGCCCGCGGCGATACAAGCGCCCCTCTCGGCGACATCGGCAGCCGCAGCAGCAACCGTATCAGCAGCAGATGGTGCTGCGGCCGCCGCCACCTCCGCGGCATCGTGATGGCCATCTCGGCGGAATTGAGCACCGCCGCCGCTTCCGTCTTTTTCATCCTCGGCACTAGGCATAGCAACAGCTGCACCATCCTCACCTCGACCGCCAGGACCTTCATCTGGCGTTGTCGCTGCCGCTGCTTCCGGCGCAGACACCGTGCCGTTCTCAACGGCAGCGGGCGGCGGCGGCGGCGGCGGCGGCATGCCATCGACGGCATTTCCATCGTCACAAGCCTTCTCCTCCGTGGCACCATTGGCCAGGGCGACAGAGCCGTCACCACCGACACCACCGACAGCTGTCAACACGCCTCTCCCCGTGGAATCAGCAGCGACAGCAGCCGCCGATTCCGGAGCCGCAGCCCTCCCCTCGGACCCATCGGCAGCGGCGGTGATGGCGGCATCGCCGATTCCTACCTCCTCGCCGGCTGACGAGTCCGTGGGCGCACCACCTCCGAGGCGGTTGGAAGACGACAGCGATTGCGCGGCTTTAACGGCGAATGGTTGGCTGGGTGTGGAGAAGGGTGCGAACATGCTCCCGCGTCCTCGGCCACCGGTGAGGGTCACCGGCCTAAGCTCCGCCCCGGCGTTGCAGGCGGGACAGGTTAGCATGCTGTGATAACCGTCTTGGAGCACCGACAGCGAAGCTCCATCGGTTTGGTCGTCTCCAGCAGCGGCAGCAGCTTCATCCCCCAGAAGTGGGGGGGGTACCAATACCGCCGCTTTCCTCCCGCCGCCGCCGCCTTCCTCCGAGCTGCCGGCGGCAGCGGTAGTCGACAAACGTCCGCTGCTCCTACGCGCCGGGGCAATAGCCCCGTCCGTCGCAGACTCTGACGACACACCGTCTCCACCAGAAGAAGAACCACCCCCTCTCGCGGCCCCGGCACCGTTACCCCTCGCGCGTCTGGTGTGCCCCCTGGTCAGCCGAACCCCTTCCTCTACCACACCGCCGGCTCCATTCCCCGCCGGAAGTGGCTCACTAGTGTTCCCTCGCCCGTTCCCGTCTCTAGCTCGGGATGGCATCGCTCTGCCGGCTGGCTTGGGTACGTTATTTCTGCCGCTGGTGCGGCCGCCGGCGGGTGTGGCGATAGGCTCACGTGTAATCTGAGGGAGGGGGAATAGATGGTAGATCAAAGTCAACGGGGGGCAGGGGTCGGGGGGG